AATATTTCAGTGCTTTATCATTGAAAAGAATACCTACCGATATAAAAGCATAATTTTATAAAGTAAGACGTAATAAAATATTATTGATAAAGTAAAGCCCACTCAAGATTTCCGAATAAAAATTAAATTGTTAATAAAAAAGTCAGACTTCGTTCAGTTACCCACAAGACCGTTGATTCAAGATACTATAAATAGTTATTAATTCTTAGTAAAGTGATTTTATATTATGGGAAAAAAACATGAAAATTCAGACGCTTCGGGTGCTCGAACCTACTCTGAATCCTTAAGTAGAAAATTATTAAAAACAAAGCGTTCGGTTACCTAAAGAGGTCAATTAACTCAATAGAATAAGTGTCATTAGGGTTTCGTACTGTAACATCCGTGGTCATTACTATAGGTAGGTTTACTCTACGGACGATTTATGGTCAATGGTGGCCGCATATATTTTGAATTATTACTTCGAATTCGCGTGGTCGTGTTTTGCTGGTTGATAATCTTTCTCTCAGATCGAGACCGGCATAGAGTCAGTATCTTAGAATTTACATATAAGTGATTTGATTTGATGTATATTATTTGCTAATAAAATCGAAAGTTTGAAGAATTACACCCAGGATTTCATTGAGCAACCCTGAACTACTTCTGATCCCACCATTAGAGTACCAAAGGGTAAAACGGGAACTTTATTACGTAGACTCCGCTGTCTGTCTATTTGTCATCTGGTTGTATCTCCTGAACCGTGAAAGTTAGATAGTTGAAATATTCACACATGATCTATTTCTGTTGATGATTCAACAACAAATCCTAAAACCAGAATAAAATAAATATTTAAGGGGACCCCGTGATTTTTTTGCTTGTTATTGCTGGATATTTATAACGACAACAGATAGACGCAAATGAAATATTTATACAGAATATGTATTTCTATATTAAATTTAAAAATAATTAATTAAACAAATATTTAAGGGGTAACACAACAAACGTGTTTTTTGCTCGAATCCGGTAAGGAATCCTTCGTGCTCGATTTCGACTCGCACTTGACCGGCATCTTATAGAAAAACGTAAAAAAAGGAAACTTTATTAACAAAAAAAAAATAACTTAGCCTCCTGGTAGCTCAATTCGAAAAGCGTCTTTGCTATTTCGTAAGAAAACCTGCTTAGAACTAGTCATCGAGCATGTGATGATTCTTAGTACCAGTCCAATCCACTGAAATCCTTCGACTATTATACCTATGAATTTTAAAATTGTTCGAAAACAACAATTTGATATAATATTGCTAATAATATCATAACCCGTATGAGCACAAAATGAAAAGGATGCAGAAACCACACAATAGAAAAATCGTATTATATTATAATGGTTTTCTGTAAGGAAACGCCCTTTATGTTAACAATAAACCTCTTTGGCATGATTCTATTGAACCTACCTTATATTAATACTGATTCAGAATCATTCAGGAATATATGCCATGTTACAACAAATTCAAATAAGGAAAAGAATATTACAATTACTCTAGAACTTTCCATAAGTTAATCTGCAAAATCTATACTAATATTATTAAGGGTTACAGTTTATAACTGTATTTGTCTGTAGGGTAATCTTTGGAAATACTGATCCCGCTTTAATTTACGCGAGCGAAGTCGTGGGAAAACAGCTAGTGTTCTATAATTGAGTAAAATAAGCAGCTAAAGTCTATGTTTCAACTAACACCGACTTAAAAGTATGTAAAAATAATTTCAATAAAAACAAAGGTGCTTGATAAAATAAAAAAAACTAATTTTGAAGTCAAGCGAGGATTAGCACACGATTCTAAATTATCTACTCCAAATATGTTGGGTGAATCAAAGGTGAATCAACAGTTACATTATAATAAATATGCGGATAAAGATGTAGAAATACTACTACATTTTTTCACATGTGTTTAGAAGTTCACGTTCACTTATATGCAGGAAAATTTGTGAACAGTGCATAAAGTACAATATTATGTTCAATATGTTAAACTATATTCACGTTTCTCTCTCTCTCTCTTTTTAATAACGTGCACGCGTAAATTATAGCATATGACACCCGAGTATGATGAAGCTACCCGTAGTTGTAAGAATTTTTAAAATTGATTCAATAGCTTCGGAGTCTATTCGATTCAAAAAAAAAAAACAAACTAACAATCCAATCTTTTCTCTTTATAATATTAGTATAGATAACTATTTACAATACAAAATATTAACCCAGAAGAATTTAGACAACTGCTCACTACACTAGACACTAGTTCGGTGGCGGATAAGCGCCGCGGCCCGCGATCGTAGTCGTTAAGCAACTTTCGCAAGGGTCGGTCACGGGTTGGGTGACCAAAAAATTATTATCTCGTGCTACTCCGTGCTTCGGAAGGTACGTTAAGCCGTTGGTCCCCGCTACATTTGTAGTCATTAATACCCTCCAATCTGCATTGGGCCAGCGTGTAGGGTCATGGCCCATCCTCCTTAACTATCCATAAGGAAGGCCTGAGCCCCTGCAGTTGGGACGTAAAAGGGCTGGTGAGGATGATGATTCAGACAAATCACATTCAAAATGAATTGCTGACGTAAAATTACATGCCAATATTTTGAAAGTAACAAAAGGAATATTCAAAATAACATTAGGAATCATTAGACAACAAAGTATAAATGTAAAGGATCTAGAGTAGAATGAAAAAATAATAAATCACCTTTTGATTTCGGTTAAAAAGTATTTGAATAGATAATCGGATCCCTTTATGAAATATGTTGAAGCAAGACCTTTGTATAAACTATTTATAAAAATATTCTGGTTTCAACATTATGCAAAGTCTCACACCTAACACTATCAAGAAACGACAGCGTCAGGGCAAAAACCTCGTTAGCTTCAAATAAGGAACGAAGTGTTTCTTCGGGATATCTCGCATTTTGTATGGCAAGCATACTTTAATAAGAAAAAGTATTATTCTATTTAAAGATAATTGCTTGAAGCTAGGTTTTATCCCATTTTCTGTAGTTTTGAACAATCTGTCGAGCGGATGCATGTTAGGAAAAAAACACAAATTCCATTTGATTTTACAGTTTAATATCTCGAAGGTAGAGTTAAAAATCTTAGAGAAATTAGACATAACTTTGATAACAACAACAGAACAGACACGGTACCGCTACAAATTGTATAAATTTGCTGAATTCATAATTTCACTGAATCCAAATTTTAATAGAAGTATCATTTGAGAGTTTAGACATATCGTTGCGGAGTAATATAAAGTAGTTCTATTGAAATAAGCCATGTGACGTCATCCGCACTCATTGCATTCTCTTTACTAATATAATGCGTGTGATCGGTGCGGCCGGTAAGAATAGCGGTCGGACGAAGGATGGTGGCTTGTGAATACAGTGGAAGTTCACCTTAATAGTACAATATTTTCCTAACAAAAGCAAAAAGGAAATCAACTATTCGTGAATCGTATTTTCAATTACTCAATGAATTCATAAACACCAGTGTGTGTTTCTAAATTCGGAACGGTTTGTTTACAAAACAATTTCTCATTAGAACACATTTACATTTTTCTTCTAGCTCAGTGGGTAACACGTTTCAATATGAATCCAATTTTTTTCACGGTTATAATTTTATTTTACTGTACTATAAATGTTACAGCTAAACTGAAGTATAATAATAGTGTTAGGACAAAATACAATTCTTTATTCGGTCACACTAAGGTGACAGATAGTTTGATTTTTCCTTATGTTGTGGCTATTTTGAAAAAGTTCTCTTATTTAAGTGCAGGTGCATTGCTTGATGATAAATGGGTATTAACCGCGGCTGATTCATTTTTTGCGTAAGTAACTTGCAATTAATATTCTTCTTCTTTCTCTTCTGTTCATGAACGAACGAAACGCAACTTGCAAGAAAAAGACGTTGTAACTTTTTTGAAACAATTTATACTTTCACTTTTTAAACGGTTTTTCAACGACACACATCTTTTATTTATCGCTCCCAAAATTACGCAAAATTTCCAATAGCTAAAGCCACGAATAATCAAAACCAAGTACCGGTGGTCGCTATCCGGCACACTTCTTTAGTCTGTCATTTTTAATTTCCATAATGTTGAAGTTTTTTGAAGTAATCCATCTTACTCGGACTATGGTCGCTACCTCTTATCGTTGGATAAGATTTCTCCGTTATCACTCCTTCCCTGAGCGTACCTCACACTAAGCCGTTAGATGCTCTCTATTCATTGACTTTCCCACGAGAATTATAAACCTCCATCTTCGCTAGAGATACTCAACTTAATGGGGTTCACCATGTGAAAGCCAGAGTCAGCTTAAGGTGTAGAGGCTAGAAAATTTCTTTAAAGAAAAATTATAGTGCCTTAGAAGAATTTTATCTTACAACGAAAACATAATTTTTAAGATTCTCAATTATATCTATTAGGTCAAAAATCTTCCATGGTGATCGATACTTAGCAGATAGCCCATCTCTATGAGAAATATTCTGTCTACTAACTTTTTATCAGTATTACCATATACCTGTAACAATTATTTATCTTTTTGTTTTTTATTTGACTGCATGACGGGGCAATAATTAGTCACGATTAGCAATATTATACTATTCATAAAGATTTCATAAGGTTTCATTAATAAAGATTGACTGCTTATAGTAAGAATCAGCGAATAAAGCAAACCCAACCGTAAAATCTGGTTTTTAAATTTTCTTTATTTGTACCGTTCATGTGCACATTGAGTGATCGTGAGTGTATCTATACATGTGTTTCTTAGAATTTAATAATGATTAACAATTAAAATCCACACTAAATTGTAGATTACGAGAGTCTTCCAGAGTAATAAGAGTACGTTTAGGAAGTGTTAACTACAAGAAAGGAGGTATCATTGTTCCAATAAAAAGTGCAGAAGTCCATCCGGACTTTGACGATAGTAAGCCATTGTACGACGTTGCGTTATTAAGATTGGCGTACAGGGTACGACTCACCCCTTATTTGTATCCTATAAGGATGCAAACTGTATTGAAAGAGGTTACATCAACACATTTTATAGTCACTGGATGGACACCATATTTGGTATGTAAGAAAACGTTTGCTTTATTGTAATAATTTTGCACGATAGAGATGAAAACGAGCAGTCAGAGCTCCTGTCAGAGTCTGTTTTTTACTAACGTGATCTCAATAAACACTGTTCTTTTAACCAGCTTAATGTTACACCTCTTTTTCTCCGCTCCGTATTAAGAGCACTGATAATATTGGATCATTAATTTATGATTAGTTGAGTGAATATTAGGTACCCTAAAATAAGGACAAAATTATTTTATGTGAAATACTCGTGCGTACCTGACCAAAAAAGTATGATATTTGACAATCTAAAGAGCGCTCTTTACTAGCGCTTTTAATGGCAAATTCCAGCATCATCATATTGGCATAATAACACAGCAGAAGCTTGAAATAGTTTTCTTGAAATAAAATACGATATGATGAATTCTATATTAGTCATTGTCTTGGCTGCGACAAACTGTTAAGCTTAACTATTTAAGATGCTCTTGAACCTAATGATAACGTGCAATATATTTTTGGACCCAAATTGTTAAAGATATATTTACTAAATCATGTACGTATTTCAGAATCTGAACTCACAAGAAAAACAAGTGCCCATTTCCATTGATGTTATAAAACAGAAAAGGATATTATCAGTATCGCATCTCCACCCTTCAAAATCAGAAGATTGTAGAGAGGAATTGAAGATGTTGGATGTTAACGACACAGAATCAGTAATGTGTCTTGACGCGGATTTAAAATCTGATCCATGTTGGGTGAGACTTTTTCAAAAATTTTCAAAAATAAATATCTTAAAGTTTAAGAACTAGTTTTTCAACTTTAGGATCTGTTTTTTTTTATGGCAATGGACGAGAACTCACCTCCGTGAAGGCTCCCGTATCGCTATAGAGAATAGCCCGGGACCTTACAAGAATTATTCAAATCCATGTCTCGTTGCTAATGAATTCTTTGGTATTTATGAAAAAAAGAATTATAAGAACAATAAAAAATATTATGTTGTGTAATCGAAGAACATAGAATTCATTGGCTACTTCATACACTACTTCAGTTGAAATAATCACCTGAAGGATTAGGTTTTCTTATTTTTTTCTAGTAGGAGCAATATTTATACTTCTTTCATGTTTCTCACTTAATCGTCATCTCAAAATTTACCGTTTTCATAACTACCTATATAATCTTATACTTTTCAACCTTATTTACATTAAATAAACATACATTCAAGTATTTACGAGAATAAAAATTAACACAGTATATTCTTCTCTCTTTTCATTTTAAAACCAACAGCGTAGTTTTTCGAATCCACAATTAGTTTTTTATTTTATTGTTTTTTATTGTATCAAAAAGTAAAAGAAAAGGGAAGCTCTTTGGTCAGTGGTTAGTTTTTATTGCGGCAAGAAACAAATGCCAATACCTAAGATGACGTGACCAAAAAAAAAATGTTTTCGTGAACCCCTCCGTGCTTTAGAAGAAATAAATTGGAAAAACAAAAAGTGAGGAATTTGGTCACGTCTGCACCTGCAGTTATCAGCACGCAGGAAATGCAAAGAGCGACTGGAGGGTGGTCGTCTGTTTTAACTTCGTGATTATATTCATTCGGATGGTACAGGCCTTCTGAATACTTAGGTTCAGTATTAGGGATATTGAAAAGAACAATGACGTTTTTCTGCTTATCAGTTATTAATATTGCTTCTTAGTTATGTATATTTAGATATAGTTCTTATGTAGGGATATCAATAGCGTAACGTACATATTATCCTACGTTATGTTTATTAACGTAGTAGAGTAGCTCGGTGGCGTAGTGGATAAGCGCCGTGGCCTGCGATCGTAGTCGTTAAGCAACTTTCGCTAGGGTCGGTCACGGGATGGGTGACCAAAAAATTATTATCTCGAGCTACTCCGTGCTTCGGAAGGCACGTTAAGCCGTTGGTCCCGGGTGCATTTGCAGTCGTTAATACCCTCCAATCCGCATTGGGCCAGCGTGTAGGGTCATGGCCCATCCTCCTTAACCATCCATAAGGAAGGCCTGAGCCCCTGCAGTGGGGACGTAAAAGGGCTAGTGGTGATGATGTTTATTGGCCTTTTTAAGTTCTGTACTAAATTTAATAGTTGATTAAGCATTAAGCCTATTATCTTTTTTACTAGGCAATTAAGATTTAATAAATAATTTCCATAATCTTACAGAGAGATACAGGAGCTCCTGTAGTGCTGAACGGGGTTCTTTGGGGCATCATCTCATCGTGGTGTCCAGACGATTGCAATTTAGAACGTGGTCCATCCTTTGTCAACTTGGTGGCTGCTTACAACATCAGTTCTTGGATACATTCGACCACTGATAGTTATAGACAGAATACTACAGTGAATATGTATTTTGTAAAAAGTATAGAAGACTACAGCAACGAGATTTAATAATGATAATAGCTTTAGGGTCCTATTATATCATTGTGTTGTAATATGTAACAAGGGAATCTGAGGTCCTTGAATTTTACTAGTAGCAAAGTGAGTGATTCCAAATTACCAATACGCAGAGCTGTTTTAGCTTTTCTGCTTCATAAGCTTGAGATATATTCTTTAATGTTCACATATATTAGTCTAATGACTTTAGCGTAAGAGTGACAAATATCTTCCAGATTTTTCGTTCTAGAATAAAATTTCAGGTCGTCTCAGATCGAACCCTACCAATATGCTCCATAAAAAATTAGGAACTAATTTATTTATATTAATGACAAGACTAGACAAATAGTGATTTTAGATTTTAATCTAGTAGTCAACGTTTATTAAAAATAGGTTTAAAATGATATCGTTTAATATGGTTTATAAATATAAATATTAAACTACTTATATATGCTACGACTAAAATTTTGCTGGATAAAAATATACCCCAAAACTTTGCCAACAGGAAAGGTGCCCAGAAGACTGCGAGCGCTTCCTCTTTAAATTGCCAAACTTATTATTTAGGCAAAGTACAAACGAGCCTTCTGATCACCAGACCTGTTGAAAAGTTTCTTTTTTATCTCTTGATATAAAAGATATTCTCCGGGGCCCCACAAACCCATCGTTTCGACCCCAAACGGCTTAAATAAAGGGAGGTCTCTTCCCGTCGTCGCGTCTCAGCCCGTTTGGTTCTAGAATGGCTGCCACTGATGCCATGGCAAGAGCTCGACGGATGATATCATTAATACTTATATGTCGAGAGATACGACTACCCCCACATTACCCCCAGACGAATACAAACTGCAAGGCGGATTGTGTTGTATTATCTAGAAGTGTTCCAACAGGTGATGGTGGCAAAATTTGCAACCAAAAAGCTGATTCCAAATCTCTGCAAAGCTCTGCAGAATTGGTAGACGTGTTTAATATATTAGTTTACCAATTTAGAGAGCGGCGCTTTCCAATATTTTTGGGCTGACATTACTATTAAAAATCACTTATGGATAAAATATCCCAATCAGTTTATCAGCAGTTAAAGATGTTTTAGATAATATTTCTTTATTCAGATCATAGGTATTATTAAGATAAAAATGCTGGGTCATTAGAAATTTTGCGTAATCCTAAACCTCCGAATCGTATAGGAAGGTATAGGGGTTTATATAAGTTAGAACAGATTTCCGATTAGTTCTATAATATTATTCAAATTTAAAAAGTCTATAATACAGAATAGAATAAATTATTTTTAATTTTTGTGGTGCCACTTCTTTTGTAAAAGCTTTCGGATAGAAATTGGTCCAAAGTTCGCGGAGAAATCAGTGAACATACATAAAAAAAATATACGTGTAAGCAAGGATTTTTTTTTATGATATTGTGGTTTAATAACAAGTACACAATATTGAGCAAAACCGATGATAGGCCACTGGATGGCTAAACATTTCATAGAAAGCTGATTTTTTTTTAATTACAAAATACGTCATTTCAACTCAATATATCATGATAAGCTATTGATTACGCAAAGAAATAAAAAATACTTGTTCAATATTCTTCAATAATCGTTCATGAATTCGGGCACCAGCTACATGTAAATTAAATCTGAAGAAAATGAATAAAGTACGTTTTAGTTACTAATTCTATAATTAGATAAACTATATCTTATTATGTTATCCAACGTAACGTCTGCTTTATCCGACGTAAATCTTATTTATAGTTACAATAAACCAAAACATAATTTATCATTTGATATATGAATATATTGATTTCGTAACGAAAAAAGTTTCAGGGGATTGATGAACCTCGATACATTTTTGTTGAAATATGGAGTCTCGTAATAATAAATACTGCAGTGAAATATTACGTTCTGTTTTCTATCTGGGTGAACGATTTAATTTATATCCTTTAAAAAAGCTTAAATAGTTTATTTCAGTTCTTAAACTATGAAGTGAGAGGTAGGGCAAGAGTCGGTATAGATTCGTCAAGCGGCTTACGTAAGTATGCGTGTCAGATTATCCTTTTACTGTGAAAGGCTAAATGTCATATCATATAATTATGACATGATTATTCGTTTGTAATAGGGTAAATTTTTGTGACTGTTACTTTTTGTCTCCTGTCACGCATTTGAACAGGTCACAATTAGGTTACTCCCATACAATGACAGAAAAATAAGTCATGGTAATAAAAACTAGTTCGCGCCTGGCGCGCGTAGCTCAAAGAAGATATGTAATGCTACCGAATAAAAAAAAAACTTAAAATTTTATAAAGTCCACATTTAAACACTAACACTTTTTTTAAAGACGTTATGATATCTGTGTGAGAGAACAAATAAAGTTTATTATATGTTTACTAACATATATCGATATAATATCTCTGAATGGGTTTTTAATGGATATTTCACTGTGTTGTTTTTTGTACATCTAGTTTGATTATGAGAACTCATTCAAATACATCTCTATCTCGGTATCTGTACTACTATTAGCCTGAACTAGGTAGCAAATAATGTATTTATCTAGGTACAGTGGCGGAAGGCTGTCAGTAAAGTTTTGTTTAATGTATTATATTGTAAAGAATATGAGTGACTAAGCAATACTTTATATTAGTAGTATCTTCTTTTATTCATAAAGGGATTTTTTTATCACTGTTTGCACTATCGCTTTTTAAACAAAGCTGACTAAATAAAGTATTTTCCAAACAAAATTTATACTATGAACTAAATATTTGAAAAGAAAGCATTATCCCACACAATCCTCTTTCTTAGTACCAGCACACGTACTGTATTGGGCCAAGTAACAGTCCGTTTTTAACCTGGCATGAATAAACCTTTTTAAGTTACATATATCCAAAAAATTGAGTGTCTGTTTGATTACAAACGACTATTTCAGCATTAGATGAAATAACCGCTTTTTATTAAATATGTATGTAATAGATATACAGTACATATACCAAAATATTTTATTACATCATTTACATTTTGTCTGTCTGTTCGTTACGACTGGAATGGCCGACTTTGACGGGATTTTCATTGGCTGCTTTTTAAAACTTGTGCTGCTTTTCACGTGGACGAAATCGCGGGTACAGCTAGTCTTCAATAAACCGAGGTGAATTTTATCCAATCATTAACTTCAGTATATTTCGTTTGAAAAGTATTTTGAGAGTGTAATTTGATCTTAACTGTCATCAGTCTTGTCACGCGCGAAACCATTTCCAATAAAACAATTGATGAATCATCTCCTTGAATGCATAGGTAGGAACTACTGAGAAGGAAGGAGTTAGGATTCGTAAATTGTGACCAGTATGTGTCAACAGCTGAAAATATACTCAAGTAAGAAATGGCTGGCCGGCCTGCGCCGCACACAAACAGGAACTGTAACAGGATTTTAAAAATCCATAGAATGCAATAAAACTTGATAGAAAATATGCAGACCACCCTAATATATATATTTAAATCAATAATCGAAATTCAAATGTGAATATGTTAAACTTGTCGATATCCTCTCACCGATCTGAGTCACCGCATCTCCGGCGATAGGGAATCTCCAATAATAGTAAACAAGGTTACTCGCTTTGAGAAAATTGCCTCGATTTCTAAACTTCTTACTTAGTACGCTACTCCATTCGAGGATGGTATAAATAAAAAGGATTCTATTCTTTTGTTTCTTCATTTCATTTTAGCTCATCTCAAATGGACTGTATTTCAACGGAGCGGTATTATATTTTGTGGGATGATCGTAGTATAACAGAGAGTAGGGGTGGAACTCCGTGATGCAAGGCTGCGTTAGTTTAAAGTAGTTATTTATATTATGAGTAATGCCTGAAACTACTTTCATTGCAGTTAGGTATCACCATAAACGTCTTTCATAGTTATATGCACCTTTTAAGATATACGCTTTTAGACCTAAAATCGAGTTGCTCTCAACTTTATGCTATGACTTCTTCTTTCGTGTGAATGGCAACCAAAACTAAATGTGACCGGCCCAGAACTCCGCCACTTTTACGGCGCTATTTGCAGCCGTCATGAGATCCTCCTGTGTACAGGTGTAGCAAGCGGAGCAACATATCAGGTGTGGACTTTATTAATAATAAGTACGATTGTACAGTAATCATCAATCGTATTAATTATTCAGTCACATCACGTGCATATTTGCGATCTCTGCGGAAAACAGTACACAAATGACAGCCTTGTTGTTTAGCAGCAATTTCTTCCAGGCAATCAAAGGTAGTGGAGAAAAATAAATAAATACCGTTGCTTGCTGCACTCGTATTCGTACTTATGCTGGCACTCGCTCGTTAGGTCGTCACCACAGAACATGGAAAACCTTTTTTCATTGTTTTGTGGTTATCACATTCAACAATCGTATTGAAATGATCGTCATATAACAGAGAGTAGGGGTGGAACTCCGTGATGCAAGGCTGCGTTAGTTTAAAGTAGCATTTATTTATATTAAGATTAATGCCTGAACCTACTTTCATTGCAGTTAGGTATATTAGGAGTAGCTCGGTGGTATAGTGGATAAGCGCCGCAGCCCGCGATCGTTGTCGTTAAGCCACTTTAGCAGGGGTCGGTCACGGGATGGGTGACCAAAAAATTATTATATCGAGCTACTCTGTGCTTCGGAAGGCACGTTAAGCCGTTGGTCCCGGCTGCATTTGTAGTCATTAATATCGTGCAATCCGCATTGGGCCAACGTGGAGGGTCATGGCCCATCCTCCTTAACCATCCATAAGGAAGGCCTGAGCCCCTACAGTGGGGACGTTAAAGGGCTGATGATGATGATGATGATGACATTCAACAACCAATTTCACAAAAAGGATATTATTTACAGTAACTCAACTAAAGGCTACTGTTTATCCCACTAAACGGTTTCTAATACGAATCCAAAGAAACCCATTTTAGAATGCACAGATAATCTTCACGGTTAACAAAGCTAAAAAAAAAACAATTTGAAATTTTCCATATTTTCGCTCGTGGACAAACAGAAACCCTCAGCCAGGCACGGCAATTAATGAATCCTTATTGTCAAATCAAAATTGAAAAACTTTCTTATAACTTGAAAAATAATATTCTCTTTCTTCTAAACAATGACATAGCAACGAAAGTTGAATATGGTAATTAAATAAAAAATCGTGCCAGGACATTATGAAAGTTTTGCCAGAGTTTATCCGAGATGAGCTGTTCAAATTTTATCATGCGAAAATTAACTTTGTTAAATACGCATTTAAAATGTACTCGTATATCACTTCACTACATATTATAAAACAAAGTTCCCTGCCACTTCTCTCTGTCGTTTTGCGATAAACTCGAAAAATACTGGACGGATTTTCATCTGATTTTCAACGATAGATAGAGAAAATCTTGAGGAAGGTTTTAGTGAATAGTAAGTTTAGGTTTTGTACGAACTGACGATATTACAATGATATTAATTCAATATGTCGGAAAAAATGAAGCTGATCGATAACTTTTGCGTTATAACAAAATAACGTATGGTGGAATTGTACCTCTTTAATAGATCTACAAAAAACGTCCGCAGTGGTCTATCTTCCAAGGAAAACCCACAGTAACCACTATTTCGCATTTACTTAAAACAGTAGCGTCAGATGCCTACCCGCCCTTTGCCGTATAAGGCGAGCGAAATCACGCGCGATTTCCTGTAATAATTCAGACGTGGTTGAAAATAGATATTTCCAATTGTTAGTTTTTTGGATCGATTTTTTTTCACGTAGTATTAAATATCCTATTTTTTTTTTGGGTAATACTTGCCTATTTTGAATAATTTTTATGGTAATTTTGTCGAGATGCGTTTAAGTGAAAAATACAATGTGTTAAATCAGTAATTCGTATGACCGCTTGCCCGACAGAGCTCTGTGAATAATTTATTTCGCTTGTCCTCAGAATTACAAAATAAGGAGCAAGTCTTTTTCCACGGACTATTGATTTTTTTCTGGTAACTTTAGGTAAAGTTGACTCATTCGTATTAAAGAAAATTTGAGAAATCACTAACTACCTTCTCTACTTACGCACACCTTACCTTCATTGTTGTATTTACCACTGTCACTAATCGTAACAAAACAGACTTTTGTGGATTACGACTACGCTGCCCGTGATAAAAAATTAAAGCGTTATGTAGCTATAGTCAGGTTTTAGTTTTTGAACTTTTTTTATTTATAATTAATTTTGAGCGTATTTAAGTAAAAACGCAATTAAAAGCTTTCAATATATAGAGTTATATATTTTAAATTTGCTTATTTAGCCCTTTCATTTGATATTCTACAAGGAATGATTGAATAATACATCTTTAAGTTTCTTATTGTATGCTCTCTAGAGGGTGCTTTAATGTAACGTCACATAGTCTTACAGCATGCGGACTACTAAGACGCGTCTAATCATTCCTCCTTTTCGCTTTGCCGTAGTCGGGTAAAAAATAGCATCTCTTTTGAAAAATCTTGGGTTACAGCTATT